AATTTTCTCTCTTGAGATTTCTCTCTCTCTCTCTCTCTCTTGCAAAATTGTGTGTGTTTGCCTAGTTTCTCTACACTTTTGCCTACTTCTTCTAAACCAAATCCTCTCACCTTTGAGCTGAGGTTCCTTGGGGCCTTCTTGGAGCTCTTGAAGGTGGTTTTGGCTTGAACTTGTGCCTAAAGTGTTCTTTGTTTCAAGCGGTAGAATACAAGTCTTATTATCTTGTTTTCAATACTTAATTTTCTACCTTTTCAATTCTTTTTGGGGCTGGTTTTGAACTGTAAAAAGCTCTGTTTTTGTGGCTTAAAAATGGTGGTTTGAGCCCTTTTTTAGTTAGGGCGTGGTTCACCCTTCTTGTTTCTTTGCTTGTAAAGCTTTTGTGCCTTTATCCATCACTTTCAAACCAACGTTTTTAGGCCTTTTAACCATTGAATTTTAGAGGTTTTTCAGTGACAAAAATCTCATTTTGAAGTCCAAAATTGGAGGGGTTAGCCTCCCCTCCTTGTGTCTTGTTTGCATGCCCAGTTAGCCTCATGTATTAGCTTAATGTTTTAGCTTTTTGTGGCTCAAGTCTAGCATGTTTTAGGCTATTTTTTGACCTGTTTTAGCTATGTTTTGGGCTGGTTAAGTCTTTTGAGTCTTGTTTTGCATAGTTGTAGTGTAAGTTCCTTGCACTAGCTTGTTGTTTTAAGGCTTTAAACATCATTGGTATGACTTGGCTGCATGCTTTTAGTGCTTTTGTCATTCAATTTCAACACCTAAATCTCCGCAATCTCAAGTCTAGCATGTTTTAGGCTGTTTTTGACCTGTTTTAGCTATGTTTTGGGCTAGTTAAGTCTTTTGAGTCTTGTTTTGCATAGTTGTAGTGTAAGTTCCTTGCACTAGCTTGTTGTTTTAAGGCTTTAAACATCATTGGTTTGAGTTGATTGCATGTTTTAGTGCTTTTTCTACTTCATTTCAGACTTATAATCTCTGCAATCTCCCTCATTTCTTCACTTTTTGATTTTGCTTTGAAAGTGGTTTCAAACTACTTGTTTGCCTAAGTGTGAAATAGAGGTGCTACACCTAATGGTTAATCCCTTAGGGGTTCATTACCAACAATATAATGCCTCTTTCATGCCCAAAGAAACTTGTGGTTTGAACCCTCCTTCCATTAGAGGACACTCACCAATGGACTTAATGGATTAAAGGATGATTTGGTAATTAAAATGTGTAAATAAAATTGACAAGTAAAAGTGACAAGATAAGCATGTCTTTATGTTGCATTGCATGTGTTTAAATCGAATGTTAACTTGAACACAAGGAAAATGAGATATTTCATACTCAAAAGTGATGAAATGTACCACTTTCCTAGGTCTCCATTTCCCTTGATCATGCATGCTAGGGTGGTGGTCTTGTTGGTCATATTTGTGCATTTATCGAAATTGTACAACTTGGATCTTTGGCCATCATACAATGAACTTGCTTGATTGGTGGTTTTTGGATCCAAATGTGTCACTCTTTCGAGATATTGAGATAATAAGGAGGGTACAGTACAAACAAATCCTTGGAAAAACCTTCTTTTTGCTCTGTTTGTACTTTGCTGCAGCATGGTGATCCAATGCATCAGTGGCTGGCAGTGCACCATCCATGGTCGACAGTGCCTCATTTTTAGCCGGCAGGACACCTCACTAGCCGGCAGATGACCGGAAGTTTCCCTCCATGGCCGGCAGGCCACTGATGTAAACCTCAGCAAAGATTTGGTAAGGTGGAGTAGAAAGGTTCTGAAGTATGCTCAACCCCGCAAACAGAGCCTTTCGAGAGCAAAACAGAGGTCTTTTCAGGCCAAAACCGAGCATGTGCATCCTCCACTTGCCGAGGCAAAGCAGTGGCAGTATAGTTTAATGTCTTAAATGCTTAGATCGTGTGCATTTGTGTTGTAATTTAACTAATTGGTTTGCTAGTTAGTTACAGTGTTGTAATAATTAGTAATTAGCTTAGCTAGTTATTCCTTTGATTTGTAATAATTATTCTAATTAGCTTAATTAGATTAGCTTAGCTCTTATTCATTCAGACCCTTCTTCGCGAGGGCATAATGTTGTAATAAGTGTGCGTGCGTGTGTGTATGTTTTCCAAGCCCATGCCTTTCTCCCTTTTATTTAATCGCTTTCGATGGTTAGATTAGGGACATATTTCAACTTAGCATATTGCATGCTTGCATCCATTCATTTGTATTGCATGCAATGAGGCTCGACGCATCATTCAAACTGCATTGTCATTTCAATATACTTCTTTGAATACGTGTTTAATCGCATGTTGTTCAAATCGATCCATATGCCATATTAGTAGTCGAGCCTATTAATTGCATATTGCATGTGTTGCATTAGGCATCTTGTATAGTTAAGATCATGCATCTTTCTAACTAGTTTCTGTTTTGGCTTGGAGTACTAGATATGTTTTTACACTTTAGCATACTTGCATAAGTGTTATTGCCATGTTGCCATGATTAGCATGCTTGCCATGAGGCTATGTGCTTAAATGCTAAATTGCATGAATGCCTGTGGATGAAGGCTTGTTGTTTAAATTGAAACGATTCAACGAATGTATGTTTTAAGCCTACTTTGTTGAGTGAAAAATTATGTTTTAAGCCCACTATGTTTGGTGGCAAATCTGCAAACTTTAAGCCCACTTGAGGTGGCAAATTCAAACTATTTTTGCAAACAAACATGAGTTGAATTGTTCCAAATTGAGCAAATTAGTGTATACTTGCTTGTACGCATCACATAGTAAAGCTAGCTAAATAACCGGAATAAGAACATATAATGTTGATAAAAATCATATCATGATTAGTAGAGGCTGAACTTTGATCGGGCGAGCGGGGGGTGCACAATTCATGACCTTCCCTTCTCGTACCTAAGTTCCCAAGCCGAAGCAACTTTGGTGATGACGGACACATGACCTTTGGCACGAGTCAGGGTTTCCTAAATTTTTTCAAAACAAAAATATTTAGGTGGCGACTCTGTATCTAGCAAAGTAGTCCAATTTTGGCACTTTTTGATTCAAAATCAAATTTTCAAAATGATTTGCTGGATTTGGACTCTTTAGTGTTTATTAGTTTCATATTGCACTTATGAGATTAGATTCAAAACCGCGGGAGTCCGAACTGTGAGGCCTTCATTTCAAACCTTCTGAAAGGGGATGCGAAAAAAGGCGAGTTCACACAAGGTTTTTAGGACTTTCACCATGGACACTCAAGCCAACTTATTTCAACAAGACAGCACATACTTCCTAGATTCACCCATTTTCTCAAAATAATAAACATTTCCAATGCATAAATATAAGATAATTCTCAATGCAAATGGATGAAACAATAGTTTCAATTCTACTAATTCTCATGCAATTTCTACAACAATCATAGCTATCATCTACCAATAGCCCAAAACAGATATTTCTAAACAGATAAACAATTTTCAATAAAGATAAACTTTTCAAATTTCAAGATGTGAGTGATAATACATATCCAACTGCACCGTCCCCATCAATATTGGCCTCATTCTACATTTCCAACATCAATTTCATTTATCCTTTCAAAATCAACATTTGATATATTTAGGGTAAAACCCCCATTTCTTTATAAACCAATTTCAAAGGTAAAAATCCACTAATTCATCATAACTCAACAATAAATACATTCTCTTAATAATTTCCAACAAAGCATTTGAAAACCCCTATTTTGAAATCAAGCCAAACCCTAGGTATGTCCAAAATTCCTTCAAATCACAATGTTGTTTTATAAAGGCAAATATCTAAGTTAAAAATCATAAGAAAGCGCAGAAAATCCCTACCTCAAGCTTAGAAGATGAGAGAAAGAGTGAAGGAACTTCAACAATGCCCAAACTCGACTTCATTCAGATTAAAAAGAAGCACACGTCGTGCTCTACCTTTTTAACAAAAGGACACTGGTGAGGAACTCAATGGATCTAGGTGTATTTGTAGAGAGAAATAGAGTTTCAGGGAGAGGGAGTAGATCTAGGGTTTTTAGAATGTTTAGAGAGATAGAGAAATGAAAAATTGACTCAAAAGTGACTTTTTACGAACTGATATACGTGCAAATCACTCGAGCGCAAGAAGTGTCACTTGAGCGATCAAACACAATACGTTGCACCGCTTGAGCGAAGAAAACCAACTCCTAGAAGTTATACAGATAGAAGACCACCGCTAGAGTTCAAGAAGGGCTGCTCGAGCTAATACCGCTTAAGCACAAGAAGCTTCGCTTGAGTGAAGGTTACCACCTCACAGTAGTTTTGCAGACCTACAAAAATACTAAGAGTTCACAAAGACTGCTTGAGCGCAAGAAATGTTGCTCGAGCAAATAAGCAAAATTCTGAGCAATAATATTCCAAGCGCAACCAACTCATCCTAATAGCCAAACTCAAAGAGAAATAAGGGGAAACAAGACATGAACAACTATATAAAACAATGAAACCCGAATCCAAAAAAATAAATGGGTCGGGTCTAAACCAGAATCGCTACAATAATTCTATAATGTACATAAAAGGATCTTGAATAGGTTCTACAACATTTAAGTGAAGATTGGAGGAATGGAAGAAATAGAAGCTTCTAGAACCTTCTAGAGAATTAGAGGTGGCAAAGAGCCCTTGTACATACTTCTACAATGAGGTAGATAAATATTTTTAGGAAGGATACTAAAACTCTCTTGTAGGATAACGAAAGCTTCAATAAGAAGCTTCTCCATAGCTCATTTCTTGTATATTCTGGAATATTCTAGAGAAGGCCTAAGATGCCTACAAATAGGAGAGGAGCTCATTTGCTCCAATCCATCTAAGAGTTGTATAAATTCTCTTAAGTGAATACAAAAAGGCATTCTCTCACATTCTCCTTGTCTTCTTACATTTCTTTCTTACAAACTTGTGAGTTATGCTGACTTAGTATCATCAAGTAAGACTTGTGATTGTTTAAGTGTTGCATGGAGTACTTGGAAATAACCAAGGCTGTGACACATGGTTGGCAAACAACTCATAAAGAAACAAAGAATGCTAATGATACAACTCGTTTGCCTTCTTAAACAAATTGAAAGTCAAGTCAATTCAAGTCACAATGACATCTTTTAGACCCTTACTAACCATCAAGTCTCCATCCACAAGTGTTTCTAGAGAGCCATGGCATATTTAGTTGCCATTCATCAGATAAGTCAAAATGATGGCACATTTCTTATCATCACACTATAGCTCCTTTAAGCCACATTTGAATGCATAGATGTGGCTCTTAGCTCGATAGAGAGAGGCATAGAAGATTTGATGCACGAACTAGCTGAACAGATCTGCACTCTAATGGTGGAGTATGTAAAGGGCCTTAAGGAAGAAATGGCAATTGGAATGTGCCTCCATCTATTAGGTATAGTGGAAGAGATGGGAGGAGCATTGAGAGATGGAAAACTAGAGTTTGAGCAAGCAAGAAAGAAGACGAGAGTACTTGAAAATAGGAAAATTGAGGCTTTACGGAGGTTGAAGGAATCAGAAGAAAGAATAACTAGAATGAAGGAGTATCTTGGGTTTCTCTTAGAAGCCAAAAAAGAGTCAATGGAACATATTTTTCTGCACAAGGTATGTCTTATACCTTGCTGGCTATTTCTTCATCTTATGCACATTAAGGCTTCCTTTCAAGTATTGAATAGACCCAATCGAGAATATCTTCACAATTTAAACCATTTTTTCGTCATCTATTCAGGATTGCAAATGTTGATATTAGTTAGAATCTCTAGTGGATAATTAAAGCAGAATATTTAGTTTATTTCCTATGGCATTTGGACTAATAAGTTGATACATGGTCAAAATTCAGTTCTTGGATGGTGGGAGCTACAACTAAAATAAATCTCAGCCACAGATTGAATTTTTGGATAAGTTTCTAGTAAAAATTTTTGGGTGTGTGTAAGTTGTCATCGCTTAAATATTTTATCAGCAATGTTTTGGTAAGTTCCCCTTTCTTGCAATACCATATCGTGGCGTACAATGCTTAATTTTTCGAAAACTTCTAAATAAGCAAATGTTAAAGAGGAATTTGCCACATTTTGGACATACAGAAAAATTCTTGCCCCTAGAATCACAGCAAAGTCTTATTTTGTGTATTCACGCCAAATTTTCTCTATAATTATTCTACTTTATTTTCCTCTCTGTGTGAAGTTTTCAAGTATGGTGGAAGATCAGCTAAAGATGAGAGATTGCTATGGGAATTATTGAAAAACAAAAGGAAAGATTTAACACCAGAGAGTCCATTTGGACCCCAAGAGCTTTTAAGCATACTATCCAATAACTATCACCTGAAACCAACACAGGAGAGAACCCAAATTAGTCACAGGCCCATTACAAGGAATTACTTGCAAAAGTTAACCCCACAGACCCCATGCTTGGATTCTTGTCTACCCTTCAACTCATCACCCTCAGTAACAACTCAATGGGTTTTTCAGCGTAACCGAATCACTCTTTGAATTCATGTATAAAGGTACGTACATATACTAGTAACTTCAACATTGATACTATAATTTTGAGCAACTTTCATGGATTTGGGGCTTAGAGACTTTTTTCCTGTTGAAGTTTGCAAGATATGATTTTGGTATTGTTGGAAAAAATGGTTTTATGGTGACTTTATATGAAATTAAAGTAGGTCCCAACCATTGGTTGAGGTGGGATTAAATGGGTTTAGATTCTTTGTAACAAAGTCTTTACACCACAAAAAGAATGACCAAAAACCATTAAGAATTGAATGAGAAATTGTCTCATAAAGATGGTCTCATGAATGAGGTATTGGAAATTGTATATAACTACCAATCCCACATTGATTATAGAAGAAAACTTTGATGGGTATTTAAATCTCAAGATTTTGATAAGGGTATGAGCCCTTTGGGGCATCCAAATTTTCCGAAGGGAGCTATAGATGCTTCAAGAATGGGCTTGGGTCAAGACTATGGTCGAAGTTGGTTATGGAAAAATTGCCACATGCGCACACGCGCATCGCCCGCCCGAACTGGGCTAAGTCCAGGTCCGTGGTCTGTGATTCGTAGGTTGTGGATCTTAGGCTTGGGCTTGAGGCTTGATAGAATGAGTTAGTTTTGGGGTAGGCTGGATTGGTGGTCCACCAACCTAATCTTTTTGGGCTAGGTCTGCTGCAGATATACAAATATGTATATACATACAGGTGTATAGTGTGTATAACTCACACATTGAATCCCCATCAATTGTGTGTATTACTCCAGCAGTTTTGCGAGAGTAATGGGCATTAGTTGGCAGCCTTCATGGCTGGAAGCTTACTTCTCTCTCCCCTATTGTGTATAAAAAGAAGCCTATCTCCTTTGGGTTTAACAGAGAAATTGTGCTTAGATTATAGTCAAGTCAGACTCCTTCTATAATTTTCTTCCTGTGTGAGAGAGTGTTGCCATTGTTGGTTCGCCAAAGCTAACAAAAGATGCTTCTACGTTAGCCGGTCTAAACCGTCATATCTTGGGAGACAGAAGTCGACGTAGCTCCAGCACCCACGGTGAGACGGCTAATCTGTTTTAAGGACATTGTGGTATCACACAGGCTTCGATTTGCTTTCTTTACCATTTATCGTATTATGTATTTCTGTGCAGTATGGTTGTAATATTCAGCATGTTTTCTTATTCTGTAAAGTAATTGATTAATCATGAATTTATGTATCTTGTTTGATTTACATAATTTGGACAACAATCTTAAAACATATTATATGTTTATCATGGAATTAGATAATTAGATTCATATATAAATTCAAGTACCCCACTATTGCATTTCCATGTTTCATGAATCTAGTGCTACTGATTTATTTGATAAAATAATTTATACACTGTTATGCATTCCTGAATTCATTTTCTTTATATACACTGTTGCAACGGTCTATGCTATTCATAAATTACAAATTTTTTATCTATATATAAAGTTCAATCTCCAGCATGATTAGGAGGATATATATTTATATGATAGCCACTGTTTGATTGAGTCATGTGAGGAGAATAACTGTCATTGACTATATATATATACATAGATGCATGCAACAGTTTCGGGTTCATCTGTAGGAATTCCGTTGTGTCTATTGGGTCAATAACTTTACTTGGTAAGGCCAGTGTTTCTTTTATTTCACTGTGTATGATTGTAAATTAATTTGGTATGCCTGCAGCTGTTTTCTATGGGTTTCTATACAACCTGGTTTCTTCGAAAAATTGGTACTAATATTTCAAGAAAGACTATTTTTTTTTTTTTTTAAGGCTTATGTTCTAATTTTTTGTTTAAGAAATTAAATATTTTTCTTATATTTTAATCTATGTTGCATGCTTATTATTATTTTCAAGAACATTTGCATGATTTTGATTGCTAGAGTCACTTGCATGATTATTGTGAATTAAATTTCATATAACTCTTGCCTATTAAATTTTAGTTTAAAGTATTTGGAGTTATAAAAGGTTTGTAACTTGTCTATATTTATGTACATTGTTACTGTATAAATTAAATTATAAATTTAATTTTGGAGTTTTAGATCTATTTGTGTAACTCTTGCCTAGTAATTCAATTTATTTATTTAGGAGTTATAAGGTTTTATAACTTGTGTAGTATGTTAATTCATTCTTTTTTGCTATTCAATAATTTGCTAGAAGGTTTAATAATATTTGATTGTATGTGCAATTTCTTTAGATTGTTTGGTTTCTGTTTTCTTATGGTTTTCTGCTAACGTCCATTGCAGGAATACTTATGTGCAGAGGAATGGAAAAAAAAATACAAATCCAAATGAATACAATTTGGGATTGGAATAAAAATTTGGACTACTAACCTTTTTTGATTAAATAAAAATACCTAAGCGAGGAAAAGAGTTTAGAGGGAAAAATAAAATCCTATTTGGATTGGTTTACATTTGTTTAGTGAAGCAATTTTTTTCTTAGGTTTAGTTGGTTTTTACCAATTGTGTAAAAGCAAGTTTTATTTGCTTGTATGGTTAGAAGCATTTTATTTGCTTAATCATTGTTGTAACAATTTTTTACATTGCTTGTAATTTGGTTAGCAATTTTTAAATTACTTGTAAGTTTGGAATTTGGTTTGATTTTCTGTAATAGAAACCAAAGTGTTTAGCATTGGCTAAAGAGTATTTCTTATTTGTTTAGAAATGACAACTAAGATGGATTTGGTTTCAAACCTTTGGAGTTTTAAGAAGTCTTTGGGTTTAATCATTTTATTCCCAAAGTGTTGGAAAACCAAGTTTGGAGAAAGTCTTTGGTTATAATTTGATTATTTCCAAAGTGTTTTGGTTTTGAGAAAAGAAACTAAATTTTAGCATTTGCTAAAATATTTTTGATTTTTATTCAAAAATAATGGGCTCAGTTCCGGGAGTATTGGCTAACTTTTATGAGTGGTACAATTTTGGTAGCAAATTTTATTTGCTTGGGATTTGGTTTGTTTTAACCTGGTTTATCTCCTGAAAAACTTAATTCTAAATTTGTTTCCCATAGACTAGGAGTCAACATGCTCTTGAAAGTTTTGTCTAAGGTTAACTGGGTCTTAAGTGGGACCAATGTGACCCCTCCAGTCTTCCTTGAAACTCTCCTAACCATGTTCGATTAGAGGGTAAGTAGTGAGATCAGTTTTAAATTAAATTTTAAACTGTGGATTTTCTAGTGTTAACTTTAGTTTCTGGAAAAACAGAATAGTGAAATTCTGTTGTGATTTTTCAGAAATGGCTTCAAGAGGTGACAACATAAATGTTGTTCCACTTGCCAACCTTAAGTCTTGCAAGGTTCTTAAAGGAAGATCTAGAGAGATCAAGTGTGATTAAAGGAAATCATAAGATTGCATGATAATAGCTTTGAATATATCAGAGGCGATTAGTATGTTATCCTTGTGTCAATTATAGCATATATGATTGCTATGTGACTTTACTTGAAAGCAAAGATGACAACACGTTAGGGTAGGTGAATATATTTTTGAATTTTTAAATTCCAAATATATTCTTAAATTGGTGGCTCCTAGTGAGTACAAGATCACAGATCACAGAGATAGAAAACTGGTAGTTCCTAGACCACTGGCTACACAGTTATGAGATTGTGGTTCCTACTAGTGAACAGATTACTGATCACATGTCAAGACATGATGGTTCCTAGTAATGGAGAGGCTACTGATCATATGTCAAGACATGATGATTCCTAGTAGTAAAATAGTCTATTGATCCTATGTCAGGACGTTGTGATTCCTAGTAGTAAATTGACTACAGATCACAGGTTAAAACATTGTGATTCCTAGTAGTAGAAAGTCTACTGACCACATGCTGAGAAATTAGTGATTCCTAGTGATAAGACTAATGGCCATGTTATGAAGTTCCGAATAGTAGACTATTGAACAGTGGATTTATGTTTGGGTGCCTAATTCGGTTGATGACATTCTGGGAATGTATTTATTGTGATATGATTTTGAGAGTTTCATAATCATTGTAACACAAGGAATTGTTTAAAAACCCTGTATGAATTTTGGAAAAGGCTAAAAGCCTTTGTATAAATTCTACAAATATGAGGGTGTCATGCAAAATGTGGTAATACCTAAACCCAAGAGGGTTAGGATAAGCCTAAAAGTCCATTGACTTTGTATTCAACGGTTATGCGCAATATAGCAGTGCATATCGATTTCTTGTGTTTAAGTCTGCTATTCCAGATATACATAAGAATACTATCATGGAATCCAGAAATGCATCTTTCTTGAAAAATGTATTTCCTTGTCATATCCAAGAAGGGGTTCCAAGTTTCATGAAAAAGGTTGAAGGTGAAAATAATCAGATAGAAGGTCAAGTCGATGATCAAACTGAGGAAGTAAATGAGCCAAGAAGGGGTAAAAGGGCTAGAACCGCAAAGTCTTTTGGTCTAGACTTCTTGACTTATATGTTAGTGGGAGAACCTCGAACTTTCCACGAAGTTGTGACTTCATCTGAAAATCGAGCTACAGTTTGTGGGCTTATTCATCTTCCGAGAGGGGGCACGAAAAGTTGAGCTACAGTTTCTGGCGACTCTGCTGGGGAATTAGAGAACTCGACTCGAACTTCATGATGTGAAAGTTTATCTACACTTATATGTTTCTTTGTATTGCATTTGCATTGGTGCGCTTAAGTCACTGTGTTTTCCATCTGCTATTCCTGGACGGTTTGCTGGAGGCTTGCCTAAAAGCTTGCCAAAAGGTTGACCGGTCATGGGCTCTGCTATGATGGGAACACAACCCTTGGATCTGGACTACTGCTGTACCATTTGATCCTCCTTTCACTTCTCGGTGTTAGGTGTGGGAGGTACATTACGTAGTCTTGCTGAGGTACCCTTCTGACCATTCGGCCTAGTTGCATATCGAAAAGCCATAGAGATTGTTCCAAACTAAGACATGATGCTCACCCGAATAGATGATTGCATGAAACCGCTTTGTCTGAATATTGACTAGTTCCTGACAAAACTTGGAT